TTCAGGAAGTGCCCCGTGTTCTACAATATGTTTGACATCTGTACTTTCCCCTCTTCCTCAGCATGTCGCCGATGTCTGGTGCCAGGGGAAGACAGTCCCTGCCCACTCTCCTCACACATGGGGCTTGTAACTTCTGTTGATGACACAGCCAGGGACCAGAAAATGGTTTTCTGTTTTTCTCTAGGACACTCAAGTCCCCTGCTTTCCTGTCAGTTTTTTTTTTTGACGGAAATGGGCCAATTCAGGACCAAAAGGCCTATGGTGCAGTGCGGGGGGTTGGGAAGAGTCTGGGGTAGGAGTCCATAAATCTGCAGCTTTTCCTTCGATCCTCTCCCCCTTGGTCTATGCCACGAGTTTAGCTTTCAGAGCCAGACAGGCCTTCCTGGCCGCAGGATACGGGGCAAGTGACTCGGTCACTCTGAGCCTCACGTCCACCACTTGTAAACAGAATCCTGTACACATGTGGGACTATTTCCCTCTAGTTCTAAGCAGAAGCTCTAACTCTTCCCAGGAAGTCAGGCTGTTCATTGGCCAGCTCACCACAGGTGCTCCAAGTCAATGATACCCGGCCCCTGAGTGCGGGGCTCATAGTTACACATTTGAAAATCCATCCTAGGATTTGTCAGAGATCTTGGCAAATCTTGGTTTCAGCTAGAAATTTCCAGTTGCCCCCATTCCATAGAGATAACAGCAAAGGTCCAGATACCAGCTCACACTTAAAAAGTGGATTGACAATCTAAATTCGCCTGGGAAAACATTAATACATGGAAAACGTCAATTTGCTCATGGTGGGCAATTGCTGTCAATAAAAATCGCTAAACCTCTCGGATTATTTTTTAAAGGTAGGGGATACTTCCCCTTCCTTCACTGAAATATTGATTTATTCTCCAGGACTGAGGAAGTAGCTATGTCCTAATGTTCATTCAGTTTTAGGATAACCACAAAGTTCCATGAACGTGAGATGCTAGTTACACAAATATGAAATGGATCTGAGATGAGGGTACACGATATCGTGGGTACACGATACAACCAAGTCCCTAAGGCATTTCACCTGGGACCTTCGCTTTCCTTCCAGAACATCAGCAAACAGTTCAAAATTAATATAGCTCACCATGCACTTTGTTGTAGAGCTACACTAGCCTGATCAGTTTCCCCCTCATTATATAAAATCTAATTAGTTAAAGGGCAATTCAAATGAAACTTTTATTGGGAGGATTTAGAAGTATTAAAGTAAAGGGGGAGAAGCAAACACTGCAGCTCTCTGGGCGGCACAGGCACGTTTACCAATAGCCCGGGGGCAGGAGAACGACCTTGTTATTGCCCTCACGGTCCGCGTTTCCGCGGTGAATCAGTGCGGAACAGAAACATTTGGGTGCTGTATGGAGAGCAGCTTTGACAAGGTCTCCAGTCGGCACCCCATGTTTTCCAGAATGAAAACATGCTGGCACTTTCCCTGCAGGCTGATGGGTTCCTGCCGGTGACACTTGCCTTGTTCCGTGGGCCTGTGAATTAAATCAAATCGGGGATGAATTTTTAACTCTGCGGTGAAGGCAAAGCTCATAATAAGAGAGCACAGGAAAGTGGACTATTTCCCTTCCATGAACTATTGCTTCAAATCGAGTAAGTTGGAGAGGAGGGGAGAGTAAAACACCTCCGTCCCTATTCTATGCTTTACGTGCGTGATGTCAATCATCTGGCGGTAATTTAAGGAAGTAATGTATACTTGGGTTCACAAAATGTTTCTCTCTCTCTTCCTTTGTTGCTTTTTAAAGGGCTATTTTGATTTAAGAAAAATTCCAAGTGTTTTGAAATGGTGTTTTCTGCTGTGATCTTTCCTTGAAATGGGTGGTCTACCTTTAGCCTTGGACTCCCCCCGTCTGCTTGTTTAGGTGATAAGCACCCACACAAACTTGTTTGCACATCAGGCCACCCCTCATTGCTCTGTTTATGCTCCTTATAGTATACTGTTTAACATAATTAGTGAAATCACTTGCTTTTCAGGACAAAGGATCAGAATCTATGTTAGACGGTAGTAATTAGTTCATCACTTTAACAAAGACACCCACACCAAACCAACTATTAGTTTGGATCATCAGCATCAACAAATGTTCACTTGGATAAAATTGTGAATGTTTACTTCTAAGTGCATGACACATTTTATTAAAAAAAAAAGAGAGAGAGAAGAAGAGGAAGAAGACCTGAATGAATTACTACCACATCAGGTAACCAGAGGTCATGAGGCTGAAGTGCAAGAGATCTATTTTGGGATTCATTAATTGCTGACATTATCACCAGTGTTTTTTCAGCCATGGCCAACGTACATTGAGATGACTCAGTTTTAAACCCAGTGCTTTGGGATGACTGGAAAACCTAGTTCCTAATAGATAGACAACAGCAGGTCCAAATGACCTTAATGAGAAATTTGTTTCAAAAACTATGAGTGGACGATCAGAAAGGATGACCACTCTGTCCATGCACTTGAATCTGACCTAATACAGGTATAGGCAGTTTGAGATCTCTACTGAAACCTATTAGGGCTCCAAAATCTTTCACTGTATGCATGCGAACTTACGGTTACACACATCAATAATTTACGTCAATAATAGGCATCATTCATTTTCCCTGAGATGCGCTTAGATGAGGGGTCTCCTAGTGCTGCATCTGTTGTAATGGCATCTTCCTATGTACTCGGTGGGATTATGTTCATTGATTCCTTCTGTGGGATAAGGGGAAAGCCTTGGCCAAGCTGTGCACTTTGGACACCCCCTTCCTGCACCCTCCGGAATGGGCGGCGAGTCATCGATGCACAAATTCCTGCTCTTTGGAGAAGGAAGTAATCCCCCAGAGCACGTTAGGAGCCCACAAAGAAGGAATGTGTGAATGCCATGAAAGCAACCAGGAGATATAATCACATTTGATGGTTTTATCATTAATCTCTTGACCTGAAAGCCAGGCGGTAGGGAAGCGAGTCCTGTGTGATGTCGGGTGACCCCCGGAAGCTCTTACATCCTGTTTGCTGGAGAAATCTAAGCAAAACCCACTTACTCCAAGCAGACAGCCAGGGCGTCATGAAGGCAGGGCACAAGCTATCACTTTATTTATTCACAGGGTTTGGTCAGGCATGAAGGAGCTCCATTTTCCTAGGCCCCTGATAATAAAGGTTAATACGTTTTCCAAAGGCACAAGGAAGCATCCTTCCGGGTCACCAATGATTACTTCAAAATAAAATGGAGCACAATGAAACTGGGACTTCCCGGCTCAGTGTGTAAAAGGTCAACATCTGCTGATGCTCAGAGACGAGGCATGAGGTGGAGGCGGCTGGATGAGATGTCGAGTGAGCAGTACAGTTAGGGATCCATGCAGCACACGCCCGACACGCCCGACAGAGACACGCACAGCCACCAGAGAACCACTTTCCACCCATCCATTTCTGACACGTCGGGCGGCGGGGCTGATCGCCAGCGCAGCCTCAGTGGCCGGCCTTGGCTTGCTTTTGGGTCCCCGTTGCTCTAAAATGTATGTGCAAATGCAACTGTCCAGGCCTGAAAGGAGCACGTTATGGGGGGGTCTCTCCAGTTAGGTCAAGGCTAAGGGAGACACTGAAGCAGAAAATCAGACTCTTCGAGCGGAAGGTTCTCACCTGCAGTTTGTAGCACCGATTGCGGGGGTGCAGTAGCACAGGGCTGTCTCTAGTGGAAGGGAACGCCAGTTCTGTTTACAAAGCTGCTGATGTTCATGGCATTTAACCCACCTAGTGCCTAACCCATCCGTGGCCGGGCCTCCCCACGAGCTGAAGTGAACTGGGCTGATGGACAAATCGGAACATCTGACTGTGCATTTATAAGCTTTTTTATCTGGAAGATACTGAGCTGGGTGTCGGGCACGGCCATGCTCTGGCTGCCACCCCGCCCACAGCCCAGAGGACCAGCCTGCAAAGGGGGTGGGACACAGTGAAATTTGTCTCTTTACTGTCAGGGCATCGTCTTGCTGCCTCAGAACATCCTTTCCAATCGCTATTCAGCGCTCCTACAAAGGCTTTAGCCACCAGAAAGGGCGCGGGGCATAAAAATACGTGAGGTTCTGCTCTGAAAAGTTCTGGGGCATTTCCTTAATGAGCTTTGCAGGCTAATGTTGGGGTGTCACTGTTTGATATGCAAAGAGGAAGGAGTTACAGTCTGATTCTCCCATAATAGCTGGAAAAATGCTCTTTGCAATGGTGCTGGACCAGCGTTCCACAGAGGGTTGAAGAAGCATTTGCCTTTTATATTTCCACTAAAGGGTTTCTCGCAGAAATTTCTAGTAGGCTGACTGAAATTCTGCATGTAGTTTTTCTTATTCCTCTTCTTTAGCAAATGTAAACCTAGGTAATCAGAAAAACACAGTTCCCTGTATTTTAGGAGGGCGAAACAGACTGATTAGCTTTGTCCTTCATTTCTCCAGAAAGACTAATGATCACAAACCTGCTTCTTTCAGGCCTTCACAAAGACTGCAGTTAATGCATTAATAAGATCCCCTCCCCCTCGTTTCGTGGTCTTTTCCTTGGATTCTAATGAATATGCCTGCAGCATTCACTGGCATGCCGTCTCTGCTTTGTTAAATCATGGTAGAAATCCATACCCAGTCCTAGGGAGAGAGTTCAATTTGTCTGTTGGGTACTAAGTATGGGTGGATAGGACTGTTTATATTTTTGGAAAAGTGAGCTGAGGCTCCCTCAATAATTGCACCTTTATGAAGGTAGCCTTCATTGACCAAAAGGAGTCGAGAAAACCTCGACCGTGCCTTATCTAGAGAGGAATTCTTTGTGCCTAGCCATTGTCTCTGTGACCTCATCGTACTGCACAGAGAACGAACACAACGATTCAATCCGCCACGGAAATACTCACATCAGAAATGGATACTGGGAAAATAGATCTGAGGAGCTGAACAACAAAGCAAAGCTAGTCTAGACTGGGTTGGGTGATTGGTTTTGCTTTTTTTGTTTGTTTTGGTTTTTTACTTACTACCAATACTGGAAATACTGGGGATACCTAGAGAAAAAGAAAAAAAAAACAAAGAAAAGCTGTTAGACATTTTTTAGCGCATGACGTCTTTGACGCAACCTAAAAATCTCAGAAACTTACCCATTGCTAACATGCAGGGCACCAGGGAATAAGCACAGAGAAAACAACATTCATATGCACTCACTGAAGCCACATTGCTTTTGTTGATGAGCTCCAGAACACCTCAGAGTTTGGGCGTTAATGCTTGACTTTAGCAACTGGCTCGAGACAGCTTCATGACGCCAAACATTTTGTGTTTGCCCATAAGGTTAATGAACATTTCAAAACAGATATTAAACTAGGCTCATGTCCTGGGCACTGCGCACCAATCAGGCACAACCTGCACCTCTGCAAATACATCCACAAAACGCCATAGATCTCTTTAAATGTGTTGTGAGGAGCATGTGTTGGCTGATGAAAGTCATTTGGCATGTAATTTGATTAATTTCGCATAACCATCATTTTTTTATTCCTCTTTTACTTGTCAGATATGTGGATTAAACTCCGTAATAGAAACTTAATTGAGCAGAATAATTCAGGAATACATTAAGTTGTTCATATTGATCATGGGCCTCATCGATTTTTCAGTTTCCACTTAATTTCCAAGTTGTGCTAAGGTGGTGGGACCATTTCCGAATGTGCTGGACTGGGTATAACAATGGGCACGAGTTTAGTGTGTATCCATAGGGAAACTCCGGGCCAGGAGCAGCGGCACCAGGCTTTCTGCGTGGGGAGCTTTGCTCTCGCGCTCATGGCCTGTGCGACCTGGGGAGCAGTTGCTAACATTCTCAGTGGTTCAGTTTCCTGACACTTGGTGCTGTGGCAAGGACGGCAGAAAGTGGCACGGGTATCGCGTTCAGGGCTTGTCTAGGGACGTGGTATGGGCTAGGTCCACCTTTGCTCTGATGACTACTCTTGACGTAGGTGGTCCTTCAAGCAAGCAGCCCGTGACAGAGATTGCTAATGAACAGTCAGAGATTTATAGCTTCGCCACCGATTTGGGCTGAGAGTATGAGATGGAAACCAGACGCAGTGACAGTTCTGAGGTGTAGCTGACTAGCTGGGTGACTTCAGACCAAGTTCCCAGGGTCTCTGTCCCTGTTTGTTCATCTGAAAAGGGGCTAAATCTCTACTGCAAAGGGCTGCTGTGAGGGCTGAATGAGATAATCCATAAACCTGTCTGACACATGGTGCCTCGTCAATAAACGATAGCTGCTAATGAGCTGTTCAGATGTGTTCATCACATCGCTGAAGTGTTCTAACAGGTGGTAACTGTGGGAAACATTGAACTTCTATTTTTGTAATTATTTTTGAACAACTGCCCTCTGCTCATTTTAACTGATCACTGTATCTAACTCAGAGATTTCTAGCTTCGTATGCATTAAAACAAAGAGCCATTTTCCTTTTTCCTAGGAGGGTGGAGAGAAGGAGAAATTAAAGCTTACCGTGGTTTTTTAAAATAGGAATGAAACCCTATCATCAGTTAGTAGATATATTAAAAAACCTCTTGACTTTCAATGTGCAGGGTCTAATCCGCTCCAGCTTAATTACCAATCATTGATCAACCCAAACCAGAACCCTAGAGTTCCACATCCATGTTTTAGCTCTGTCCTGTTAACGGAAGTTCTAGCTGAACACCAAGTCTACAAAGAACTGATTTCCTGAGCCGGCACTCCATAGCTTCCTTTGCCGCAGCGCAACAGTGACTCGGTACTGAATCTTTTTTTTTTTTTTTTGCCTCTGCAAATCTCCTGTTGAGTGAGGAACGATGGCAGCATCATAATTTTAGTATCAATGGCAGAAGCTCCAAATTTCCCTGTGATTGAAAATCCTGCTCCACAGGGAGAAACGGCTTGCCTTTTGTAATCCGTCAAAGAGAATGGAAGTTAGGGTGGCAGGAAGAGACTTTTCATGTGTTTTCAAACTCACAGGGAGCTAGAGGGCTATGCATAATGCAACGCGAAGTTCTCAGGGTGCTTGGACCCCCTGCCAGGGAGAGCCAACCCCTAAGACTGATGAAATGCTTGCTGCAGTTAAACTACTTCGGAAACGTGCACAAATGTTCCCACTCCTTCGGGGAGGCCAGTGCAGGGGAGACGTGCTCACTGCAGCCAGACGAAGCTCGATCAGCAAGGCCGTTATGAGATCCCATTTTCCTCACGAAGCTGTTTCTATCACCTAACATTCAGACGCTTACAATTCAGGTTCATCCTCATTTATATGGCTGGCAATTTTTTGAGTTGCTATCAGGTGATCCACTTGCAACTCCATAGCTGTCAGGGGGGAATTGCTTTGAGAAGATTTTTTAAAACTGCTCCTTGGAATAAAGATTTTTAAAGTTGAGAATCGCCGGATGCCAAGGGATGTCCACTGGGTTTTTATTTTTAAATGTTACGTTTTTCCTAATGTTTCTTATTTAATGTCCAAACACCTGGCTTTTGGTTCTCTTCAGACAGGTAAAGAATTTAATAAACCCATTCCATTCATTAAAAAAGCTACAAGTGAGACATGAAAAACCTTTCAAATGTTTAAGGCAATAAGATGGGAAGGCTACAACTCATGTGTTGAAAGAGGGTTTCTCTGAGGTATGTGAGGGGTGAATCAATGGATGAGATTCTATGTAACAACAGAGATGGTGCCTGATAGCCATGGAAATAAGAGTCAGGAAAACTGTTGAGATGCATGTTGGCAGTTTTTTTTATTTTGACATCCCCTGTGAAGTGGCAACTATTATGTGAAGAATATTCATGCCTTGAGACTAGAACTCAGGAGTATTTCTCCCTTCCTCACCTCCGAGTGTGAGTCAGCCATCTCCCGATCACACAGCTCTGTCCGGGCCTCCCTGGGCCTCTTTCTTACTTTGACCATGTGTGCCTGAGAGCTAACAGGGGACAAGCACAGGTCTCGCTCCTCTCTGTGTTTCTAGCATCTTCCCAGGTCGCTCAATGTATATCTCAGGAAAAAAAAAATCCCTTGTTTCCAAGGAGGTGGTTATCAGTGAAAATACCACTTTGGTCAACGTAGGGTCTTGTCCCCTCAAAAACAGTCCCCTGAGATATTGTTCAGAGGTCAGAATTAGTGAATTTTTTTTTTCTCTATGGACAGTTTCTCTGTCCTGATAGCAAGAGTGACACCATGGACGGAGAGATGGCCTCACCACATGGCCTTTCAAGAAACGCAGGCTGGGAGCTCAACGCGATGCTCCGCTGGGTGAAGCCCATTTCATGTTTGTCTTATGTCCTTTCTATTCTTTTCCTCACATCTTCCTTTTATCTTCCTATTGGGACACTCTGATTTGTATTTTTTCCTAAGCCACCCAGGGGCAAATACAGATTTTGTGGGAGCTCTCTATGAGAAAAAGAATAGTAACTCTACAAGGGTTCTGTGTGCCCTGCTGTAGGCACTTGGAGAGCTTCTCTCCTCAACCAGCCCTCCCCACGCCCTTATTTATTTTAATTTTTTTTATACAACCACTTATTTCCAAGTAAGAACTCAACTATTTTCACAAGGGAGATAATGTTTGTTTTAATGGAATTCTGTGGCAATTTGGAGGATGAGAAGCTAGTAGAATTCTATATGTTACTTTCTTCTTCTTTTTCTTCTTCTTCTTTTTTTTCCCCCAATTATACTAACCCTCCCACCAAGTAAATAGCTGAAGGGCACACAGTTAGGCTTAAGGAAGACAAAGTGCTGGAGATATAAAAAGTGAATGCCTTGTTCTTCTGAGAAGATGAAAGCAGGCCTCACAGCCACGATTCCTTTGGAGAATCAACGAGAATCATCGAGGACAATGGAAGGGACAAGGTCTCTGCATGCTTCAAACCGAGAGGAGATATTACCGCCGCTGTGACAGAAGGTTTGAACGAAAGCCCATCGCAAAAGTGACTAGATCTTCTTCTGGCCAGGCTGCGGCCTTGGGAGCCCAAACTCCAAAAATCCCAGCTGAAGATGATGTGGGGGTGAGAAGGAAAATGAATGGATCCTGGTGCTTTTACTTCCAACGTCCTTCCAGCCTGGTCCCTGGTCTAAAGGGCTGTGGACAGGAGGTACAGTGAGTTGTCTTCCAGGAGCTTGAAGTGAAGGAGAGAAGAAGGCCTTCACAGGATTAAACATCATATAGGCAATCCAATCAGACGTGGCTGAAGTCATCTTAGAAGAACAGAAGGCCCTGGGGCCTGAGTGTACGGGACACACCTAACAGAGGTGACATCAGGGGACTGACATACGTGAAGAAGGGAAGGAAGAACTGGCATCCTGAAGCATCTGGCAGCAGAGTGGCCGAGCGGTGTCTGGGGAGGAGGGGTGGGTGGCCTGGAAGCTTGGCCTCCACTGTTCCGTCGAGTTAGGGGGCTGGCCCAGGGGGCGGATGCACGTGTCAGGGTGCTTCCGCCTGACGTTAGTAGTGTTCAAGTCATTTAAATTTCCTGATCCTGTGCTCACCAAGCAGCCTTCTGACGATTATCTGGCTTTTCACAGAGACTGAGTGAGTTACAGGGAAGAGAATACGCTGGCGATAAGGACTTGGCTATTCTGAACGCCATGACAGTTATTGCATATCATGGACCAGTAAACTGGCATTTGGACATAATTGATCTCTCCATAGAGCCGCTGTCTCCAACAGGAGAATTTGCTGATCAGACTGGGATGGGGGCTCAGAGAAATTATAATGACGATAGCAGCTGACGTCACACTTGCTTACCATGTGCCTGCCACTGTTCCAAACACCTTATGTACATAAATTTGTCTCATTTTTATGACCACCCTATGAGGTCAACACCCAGGTTCATGTCACAGATGGGGGAAACCCACACACAAAGAGCTTGCCCAAGATCATCTCAGTCAACTGGGGAAGATGCTGGGATTTGAAGTAAGGGGTGCCAGCTGATATTCCATTGTGGGTGCTGTTGCAATATAGTCACACTTCATTACTCTTTAAGATGCTAAACGTTTTGAATTCCAAATCCCATCCGGCCCCTTGAGCTTCAGTT